ATACTTGAAGCCTGACTTGATCACACACACACACACACACACACTTTCCATACTGAAATAATTAAACCACCAAATAAATCGTAAATTGTAGAATTCACCTCTTTTATTCAACACAAGCTTTATGACATCAGATCACATTATCGCACGTTGACAGTGTGACACATGTAACACTCCAGCAGTTCTATGTTACTGGATCTCATGACGTTGGTACGAATGATGAGAAAACGTGGTTTTCTTTCTCCATAATCAAATCATCAGAGACCCCAGAATATGTTTTTTTTAATTATATTTTATCATTTATTCTTTTCAGGTATTTTCACTGAGACTTCTTTGGATGTTGTAGAAAATCAGGATCACTTTTCTGGAACAGCTGTGGAAAAATATTTCACATGTTCACTATCACATCTCAGGACAGAGTAAATCATGCATCCAGTTCTATGTTCAAATTAACAAGACAAGTTTTTATTTTTGACAAGTTTTGCAACGCTTTTAATTTGTCTAAATTATGTCAAACTGTCTATCTGAAGTTTTGAATCAATTTATATCACATTTCATATTTTACTAAGGATCCTTTTCATTTAAAGAAAATGCTCGTCAAATCTTTTTTCCTGGGTCATTTTAGACATGACACACAGCAACAGGGGACAGCGTCAGGGACAGGGGAGACAGCGATTTGGCAGAGTGAGAAGAAACCTGCAGGAGCCAATGAGAGCGAGCTGACCGGGAAGCATCACCAGGCGGGTGTGGTCAATAAGTCTTTTGTCTCTTGTCCCCGATGGACAGCAGAAAAAGACAAACTAATGGAATTGTGACAACTCTATTAGTGCTTGTTGAATATGACACAAATCTCCACACAGAAATCATCTGTTTGTTTGGCCCTGCGATAAAAATCCAAAATGTGTTACATGTGGAATTAAAGATTTAAAGAGACATACGTGCACACACGATGTTGTGCGTCTCCCAGTTCCCATCGTTGCACCTAATGGTGGTGTCCGCCTCCGTCGTGTGATTGTGGCGGCACTGATACGTCACTTCAGAGCCAGACAAGAACTCCCTCTGATACAAATTCTCAACAACAGCGTCTTTAACTTTAGGTGGGGGGCTGCAGGGATTGGCTAAGGCTGAAAGAGACAAGAAAATAAGTTTATTCCTAAAGTTAGAAATGATAATTCAACTGCAAATGCTTACATCTGATAGAATGAGACAGAAGTTGACTCACGTGCACAGATTGGTGACGATTCATGTGACTTCCATTCTCCATTGTGACAGGTCAGCTGCTTCACCTGAACTCTGTATCCCTTATTACAAGTGATGGTGACTCTTTGGCCTTCCTCATAATTACTGCCAGGATACTTCACCCCCCCGTTAGGAATCACAGGCAGTTTTCCACATCTGTTGTTCGCTGCAGGCGACGCCATGATAAACAGGTTGATATGTTGTTAAAATAATCAAAAAGAATTCACAATTATTTCGCATCAGCGCTGCCACTTTTTTAAATTCCTTCACGCAGCCAAATCCAACATCTGGTGCAGCTGGGGTCATTTCACATTTTGCTGTGTGTAAACTTAGATGCGTTTGCTGTCAAGGTTTGAGCTCTCTGTTAATAACAGCTATAATCACAACTCTGTGTTTTTTGTTCCCATAAAGCAACATTATACCATCATTTTGTCTTAAAACACAACAACTTTAAAATAGTGTTGAAACGGCCAGATCAACCCTAGCAAAGACAAAGAAGTTATAGTCAGTACAGAAACTTTTAAAAGGTTAAATTAAACCTCTGCATCAGGAATATAAACCGTTGAGCTGCTTATAACAAGACCCAGTAGAAATGAAATAGTATTACCGATGCATAGATCAAGTCCAGACCACACGCCATCGTGACACTCAGCCTGTGCCCACCAGCCGTCGGTGACAAGCTTATAACCTTCATCACAGGTGTAGTACAGTGTGTCATTGTATGGACCAACGTAAAATCCATGTGAGACTTCAGCATTTGGACAACCTGTGAGAAAACAGGATCAATCAGAATCACATTCTCAGTGGTTCCAGTTTGAGTTTTGCTGTAGCGCCACCAGCAGGTCAAACCTTACACTGAATTAGAGTGTGGGTTCGGGTTCATTGGCTGGGATACCCACTAGATTTTTATAATAATAATGATCATAATAGTTTATTCATATAGCAAAGTGGTTTACACACAGTATAGATATAAATAGAAAGATTTTGATAAAAACATGGTAAAATGACATTTAAAAGAAAAGGAAATAATTTTTGGCTGCTGTTGGGAACCTCTAACAGACTAACTGAGGAGGATCTCAGTGTTCTGGAAGGAACACAGTTGATCAGCTGTGTAACTCTGCTAACAGAAATATGGATCTAGGGAATTTAAAGGTGGTTCCATGAGGAGACTGTTGGGCCTCGGTGGAGAATTGTGTTCTCCTGTGCTAACGTCTAGTCGTATGGTCTCACCTGAACAGTTCTCAATCCCGGTCCAAACACCGTTTTCACAGACGATAGTGAAACGTCTGTTATTTTTCCTGCACATGTACTGGACTTGTTCATTGTGGCTGTAGCTTTCCCTGTCATTGCTGACAATGTCTGCGTCGCTGATGTCTTGATGTTCACACTGACTCTCTGCAGGAAATTCATTGAAATGGTGAAGAGTAAAATCAGTTGTCGATGACGGACAAATAACAACAGCTATGGGTTTACAAGTCAGCGTGTTCGAAATAAACGTGGAAAGATGTTAATTTGTGGAAATTCATTTTAAATGGTTTTTTGTAAAACCATAAATAATAATCAAAAAGAAAAGCAGACAAACAAAATCAACACTAAATCTGTTGTGTATTTCCTCACCTTTACATTGTGCTTCCCCGCTCCAACCATATTCATCACAGGTGAGATGAAATTGTCCTTTGTAACCGTTCTTGCAGACATAATTGACCTGTTCCCTGTACTTGTATGTGTATTTACTGTTGACAATATCTGTATTCGGGATTTCATGTCGGTCACATGTGATTTCTGAAAAAGTAAGAGTGAAAAATCCATTATATGAACTCTGTTGTACACACGTCGTATGAAAACCACTACTTCTWTAAGCTACTTCTGAATTATATATAAATGATGAGCACGTAATGTTGAAGTTCTATAAATGTTCTGTTTCATTTTGGTCACTTGCTCTTCTGTGTCTCCTTCAGTCTCAGTAGATGACTATAACAGACTATAACAATTAGAGTAGAAGAGACTTTTCGCTTCTGATTTAAAAAATTACCTATATTGAAATTTGCAGAAGTTTAACTTAATGATACCTTGACATAGTGGATCTGGTTTCCAGCCCCCTCTGGTGCACACGGCACTGGTGGCACCACCCGTGCTCTTGTAGGCCTCCTTGCACTGATAAGTAACACGATCCCCAAATTTCTTTTGTTCTCCATAGTAGACGCTCCACTGCCTCAACGTATAATGTCGTCGATTGCTGCATGTAACCTCTAGAAAACGAGAGGGACTGGTTCATCTCAGGTGATCAATATAAGACTGAATATAATAGTAATCGTTATCTACAGCTGATTCATACCTTTGCATATGGGTCTGAGAGACCACTGTCCATCACTTTTGCATGAGACTACTGCTGATGTTTCCAGAGGGTCAGAAATCCAGTGCCTGTCTCCACATGTCACTCTGACCGTGCCACCAGGTGAAAACACGTTTACGGTAGCAGGCTCATACTCGGTTCCATAGACTGGCGGCAGGCTCAGTTTACATGTTATCACTGCGTTTGTTGGGAGATGAAGTACATGTATTGGTGAGTTTACAAGACGAACATGACATCCATCTGTCCCTATAGCAGCAATCTTCACCTGTAAGGGTGCTGACATGAGAGATTTGAGTCTTTGACAATTCATACTTACGTTCACATGCAGGAGTGGGGCTCCAGTCGGCTCTCATCCCGAGTTTTGTGCAGACTGGGGATCTGGCTTCAGTGGGCTTGAATCCTGGTTCGCACTCAAAATGCAGGATTTCATGTTCCTTGTACTCTTGGGTGTCTCCCAGCACGTTGCCATTTTCAATCTCAGTTACCAGACATTTTATCTCTGTTGAAGAATAACACACAAGTATGAATGTGGCTACGTTTGCTCACAAAAAGTCGAATCAAATTGTAAACAAAATGCATCGGCTATGTGCTTTTTTAAATTTGTCTGTTGATAGAGATGAACCAAAATGTCGCATGGATCTAAAACATGTCCAGAAAGTGATTCTGTACTGAGTACCAAGTGAAAACAGGGTGTAAAGTCACGTGTAACTATTTAATGCTGTGATTTCCTCACAACAAAAACTAGAATCGGTGCAGATCCTGTTCTGTTTCCTCTGGTTTCCAGTCTTTATGCTAAGCTAAGCTAACTCTAACTCTCTGTAACGTCATGAGCTGACGTGAGATGGATCTTCTGAACTAATTCTAATCAAGAGGGTGAACGTGTGTTTTCCTCAAACTATTCCTTCAAGACTGATTTCCAAGTCACATTTGTTAAGTTTTAGTTTATAACTGTAATTTTTATCACTTTCTTTGAGCTTAATTTTCAATTCAAATTGACGACCAAGAAAAACCATCATAATATCTGAAGCTTGGTTTCAGGAGAGAATCGGAGACGATCTGTCATTGGTTTCTGTGGGTTGCTACGGTTGCTACGTGGCGGGTGGGAATCTTTGGTTGTGGATAAGCTGTTTCTCATGCATGTGTGCGTTTCTCTCGTACCGTCGCATTTCGGAGCTCCGCCGCTCCACTCTCCGTTTTCATCACAATAGACCTCTTGTGACCCAAACAGCATGTGAGAGCTGGACTTGCATCTAAATCGAACAACGTTGCCAAAGTTTGCTTCCTCTGGGTCCCCGATCACCTGGACGTTATCGTTCACAGGGAGCGCTCTGCACTGTTGGGCTGGAGGGGAAAACATGGTAGAAAAAACCATCGGGTGACTGAAAAACCTTTAAATGCAAGTAAGCGATGAACGTCAGAGAAATAAACAGTAAGATTCCTCACGTCAGCACTCACCTTCACACACAGGAACAACGCCATCCCAGCCTTCTGCCAAGCAACGCCGGCGGTTACTCCGACTGACCATTTGATAACTACGACGTAGAAAAGAGTAGAGTAGAAAAGGGATAATAAATGTAAAGATGCAAAAGCATAAAAATGAGTTTATGACTGTAAATATTCCCATACCCCTTGTGACAGGTAAATTTAACTTGTGACCCAAAGACGAAATCTTCTCCTATCTCCAGATGAAAATCGGCAAACGGGGCGTCACCAGGATGACCACATGATCTCGCTTGAAAAAATTACGAATGAGAGACTAAATCAGTGACTCTGCAGTAATGTGATAAAATCTATTCATAAATAAAACATACTCTAAATTCAGCAATGATGAGACAGTACAATCTGGAGTGATCTTTCAAACTCCAACACTGTAAATCTAACAGAATAAACTGAAATACTTATTCTGGTAAAAGTTTAGAACTTACGTTGACATTTCGTGCTTTTCGACTTCCAAACACCGCCGTCACAGTGCAGTTTGAAAAAACCACTGTAACCAATACTGCAGCTCACCCTTATTTGTTTCCCGCTGGGGTAATTGTCCTCCAGACCAGTTGTGTCGAAATTGGAATCAAACAAGTCCCCATTTAAAAACTGTTCAAGTGTACAATCTGTGGCAGGGACAAAAGAGAAAAATACATCATCGTAAATTTCCACGTTCGCCATCGAAAAATCAAGGAATTAATTAAATAATCAAGAAATCTTGGGACTTACTTTTACTTTGCACGACAGTCAGTGAATGCATCCAGACAAGCAGGACACAGCTTTTGGTTATTATATGCATTTTATCCTCATTACCCTGAACTGCCAACAGAGGAAGAAACTGGAGACTGAAACAGGATTGTGCACAGAAAGAACTGCTCAACAAAAAGAGGTTGCTCAATGATTAACTCAAGTCTGATCCTGCCTCCAAATATAAGCTCAGGCTCACAGGGAACAGAAAATAGAGGAAGTGACCACACACACAGCAGCAGCCTCATATGACACATACAGCAAACATGCAACAAAAATTCCAGATGTTCCTAAATAATATGACTCCGTACATAAACAAGATAAGCTTTATATTGCAAAATGTTTTAAATAAATCAAAAATTAACTAAAGGAAAAAAATAGGATGAATTTAAAATGCCGATTTGTGTTCCAAGGTTCCTGTGTCGTCAGATTTTGCCTTGTTTAATGTTCCGTGTGAAAAAAGTAGTATTCCTGTAAAAGTTTGTTTTCTCTTTCCTGTGAATCATTAGCTTTAATCAATTCAGCAAACAAAATCCGCTGCATTTCAGCAAGTCAGCTCAAGCTCAGCTAATCTAAAGTAAATATGAAATAAAAAATAAGCAAAGCAGCTTGTCAGTACAACACTCGATCAGAAGTATGGCCATTCTGTCACAAAATGAGAAATTAAACTCCATTTCCTCAGATTCTCTTTATAAAAATCTGTTGCGTCGGTGGAAACATCTGCCAAAAAACGGCGAGAGACAAATATTGCAGATGCTGGCTCAGTTTGGACAGTTAAGCTCTGTTGAGCAATGCAGGAGTCACCATCATTTCTCAATGTGGCTTCATGTTATTTATCTGTTGAACAGAAGCTGTTTTCAGTCTGTGTCCCTGACAACACATTGTATAAACCGATTCCTCACAACTTTTCTCACAAAACCCCTTATTTAAATTCTTAAAAGTTCTCGAAGGGCTTCTGAAGTTGGTTTTTAACCAAAAAATCTGAAATATAATTAATCACAGGCATGTTTATACGCATTTCTATACTTTGAACCAACTGCTCAAAGTAGAATTCCTCTACTTTACCCGTTATTGTGTTATTTTTATGAAAGAAGTCTGGTTGATAATAAAAAGTAATTGAAAAGGTGTGAAGATAAATGTGCTTTAAAAAGTTGGTTTTTGAACAAGACGCCTTATTGCATTTCACTGATCAGCTCTGTTTCTCTTAAACATATATCGAGCTAACGTTAGCTACACAGTCGACACCTGTAGTTACTGTGTGCGAATCTGTTACAAGTCGTTTGTGTTGTGTAATCCACAATGAATTGGTTCAAGTCAATTTACACAACTAACACTTGTCTTGCCCCTTTTTCTTTCTTTTTTCCATTTACTTTGTCTAATTATAGAAGTTAGTTCCACTGAAAGGAATTTTGACTGAAATTATAATCATAAAATAATAAAAATGCTTAATCATTTTACTTTGTTATTCATGTTAATCAAGATCAAGGGGATGATTTGATGTTTATTAAATGTAAAAGAGGAAGAAGGAAGATTTTCTAATAATTGTTGCCATGATTCCTATTTTTTTGTGTAACATATATATATATATATATATATATATATATATATACTGTGTGTGTGTATTAATAGTTCTAAAAATATCCATATCTTATATATATAAAAAGATGCACTAACTAAAGGACACAGATGTTGAGGGGTTCAGCAGCGACCTCCGGAGGTTCTGCTTAGCCACAAAACACTGATGGACAGAAAATAAAAATATATATATATATATATATATATATATATATATATATACATATAGTATAGTCACAACAACTGTGTTCAATAATGTAACAAACATTTTCTTTTACTGAGCAAGTTAAACCACTACAGTTTGCACTACTGTTAAATTCCCATTTGTAACAGAATATAATCTTCAACACTGATGTATAAATAATTCTCAGTTAGACGAAGTAAATGTTTCTTGAATCTGGTTTATAAAGTCAATCATCGGGGCAGAGAGACAGACGGCGAATGTACGGAGCAGACGTCACAACAGATGGCGCTGAATATTCAAATGATATGAAATTACAGACGAGCAGGATGCAGCCAACACTTGTGTTCGGTTCTCTCGAAAAAAAACGGTCCGTACATTTGCTGCTTATATTTTTCAGATGTGATTGTCTCTTTGAAAAGTTGATGAAGTAATATGAAGACATTGAACTTGAGAGGGACATTTAAAACAAATAATTGAAAACAATCATATTAGTTGTGTCACTTCACTTTTACTATTCATTATTGTTATTACACACATTTTCTGAAGTACTGAATATACTAATATTGGTTTGTGGTACCTTTCAACCCACACTTTGCAGTTATAAGTAAGAATACTTTTAACTGATGCATTTGTCATTGTGATGTAAAGAGTCGTGTACTTTTATTCGTCTTCCTGCAGCTTCTTGATGACACTGTCACAAGTGCTGCTTCAACTCAATATCAGAAACAACTGCATGATACTGATGAGAAAAGACAAGAATAGAAAATCTTGATCTGGGTAGAAATTGATGGAATAAGAGATCGCTCAAAGATGTTTTGACTTTGCTGTATAAGTTTAATATGTTCAAGTATAATGATGTTTTATGGGTCGGTCAGAGAGACATGAGAACAGTGGATTTAAAATCCCACTGGGCCGCCCACACTTTGACTCACCATGACGGAGAGTCACACTTACTGTGGGCCTGTAGTGAGGTTATATGTGTTATTGAAGATTTAAACACATATTAGAATGTTGGATATAATTGTAAATGAATGTGTGGAGAAAGAAAAAAAAAAAAACTTTATTTGCACATGTGGCTGGAAGGTGAAGAGTAAAATCTTTAGGGAACACATTTGTTTGCTTCCTCTCCATGTTTCTCCACTAGAGGACAGAATCGATCCATAAGGACGGTGCAGCAGCAAACTGAAAGTAAAGTGGGTGAAAAAAAGGGCAATTCAATATATAAAATGCAGAAATCAATCTGAATATCTATAAAGTACAGACTATAAGAGCTATGGTTACATGGGAATAAAAATGCACAACAGCTGGTTTTATTACTTCCACTAAACCCGTTATTGACAAGTGAAGACGCAAAATGCAGAGAATATAAAGAAGCAAACACAATTCCTGCTTTCTGCTTCTTCAAGTACATTTAGAACATTTTCTCTGCTCTGTCCCAGCAACTCTGTGCTTAACACTGAATGAATGCTGTTTGTCCACACAGACAGAACAGACAGCTGAGTTCTGACACCACGTCTGAGCTGCGTCCACATTCAGGGGCTGGATTTGAATGTTTCCTTCCATCCCTGAGAAACCAAGGCTCTAACCGGTGGATCCTTCGAACCCCATCCCAGGATCCAAGATGTAGTGAAAGTGACAACAGCTATGTAACGCTTAAAGGTCCAGTGTGTAAGATTTAGGTGAAAGGGAACTATTTAATGTAGAATAATCCTCATGATGTTTTCACTAGTTCATTTCATCTAAATTATATGAATTGTAGTTTTCTTTACCGCAGAAAAGGTACTTTATATTTAAATACTTTATATTTACATGGAGGGGACCCTCTCTACGGAGGCCGCCATGTTTTTTACATTAGTCCAGACTGAACAAACTAAACACCTTTTGAGTTTTTATGACAACTGGAGCTGCCACAGTTTATTTTTCATGTTTGGAAGGGGAGGGTGAGGTGAGGGAGGTTCAGCTGCAACATGTAACTTCACCACTAGATATCACTAAATTCTACACACTGGACCTTTAAGTATAATGCTTGAACTCGACCGTTGTCGCATTAGAACTTTCTCGTCAAATCCGACTTCAGTCCAACTTCAGACACAGAGCTTTAGACTTCAGCTTCACACTCTACAACCAAACATGTGATGGAGGAATGTCTCCTGTTCAATTTTCGAGCAAAATATGAAGATTGAACAAGATAATGCTTTAAAAATTAACAAACCCTGAACCATGTTATAGCAGCAGAGATGACACGTATGAATATTCATCAGTAGAGTAATAATATGATATGATATAATAATATGTTGTCATAAATAGCCCTGGTGTATTTTACTAAAACTATAAATATTCTCACCAGCAAAGGAAGAAAGTCTATAAAACTAATTTGAACAAACTTCATAATTTAGCATGTGTTAAGTATAAATGATGTTCGATCATATAAATAATTTACCCATCTGACATAATGAACCTAAAATGTGCCTCATAAATATTTCTGTGGCAGAATGGTAACTTTGTGATTATGGTGCCGGTCAGCTGACCCGTGTCTTTATGTTTCTGTCTTCTACAGCAAATATTGTCGTGCTTCTCGTTCGTCGCTGTAGCAGTTAGCGTGTTGTCTTAGGCTGCCAGGATAATCTGAGCCTGTTTATTCAACAGGATGAGCATGAACGTTTAAGCCCACAGCAAACAAACAGCCGAGCCCTCCCTTAGGATTCCAGCTTAATGCTAATGATATACAGTAAGCGCTAACTATTTTTTTCACAGGTTAATGAACTCGTGGTGCTTCTCCACCGAGCGGGAGATTTTCTTTTTCGACTCTGCAAAGGGCTGATGTGTGAAAGTGACAGATTGTCGCGATGAGCTCGGTCTCGGCTGTCGTCGGCTTTCTGCAGAGCTGCTGCACGTATATGTTCCTCTGCTTCTCCTGCTTTGATCCTTATGTTTCTTACAGCGGACTCTCCAGAGAGAGCCTGTTAAAACACACGGCTGACCGACTCAAATCCCGTCTATTTCTCCTGCACAGCTGAGGCTCCTGCAGCTCTTTGCTCACAAAGGAATAATGAATGATTCAGGGTGATGAAACAGGAGGTCGCTCCAGAGTTCACATCCTTGTTTCTAAAGAAGCCAGAGTGTGACCCACCATCAAACAGGGAGCTTTACTTATTGAAAACATGAGGACGCACAATCTATAAAACCTGCAATGACCTGAATAGCAGCAGTGGAATTAGAATTCAGAGCCTTTATTTAGTTCCATTATTAAAACATATTGACAAATAGATGAGCTTTAAATATCAAAATTAAAAATACTCATTCTGTTTTATCTCCACATACATAGCGGGTTCGATTCCGACATGTGTCTTTACTGTGTGTCTTCTCCATTTCATACTTTCTGTATTAGATATAAAAAATCTGGAGATTCATGTAATTAATTTATTCCTTATGTTCAATACAGATTCTTTCAAAAACATGTTTCAAAAA